GAACCGCATGCGGGCTGTGCCGCTGGGGCCTTCGGTGGGGCTCCCTATGGGGCTACGAAGCGCTGCCCTGGGTGGGGGAACCGCATGCGGGCTGTGCCACTGGGACCTTCGGTGGAGCTCCCTATGGGGCTACGGAACGCTGCCCTGGGTGGGGGGACCCCATGCGGGCTGTGTCACTGGGAACTCTGGTGGAGCTCCCTATGGGGCTACGAAACGCTGCCCTGGGTGGGGGAACCGCATGCGGGCTGTGCCGCTGGGACCTTCGGTGGAGCTCCCTATGGGGCGACGAAGCGCTGCCCTGGGTGGGGGAACCGCATGCGGGCTGTGCCATTGGGACCTTCGGTGGAGCTCCCTATGGGGCTACGAAGCGTGCGAGGGGTGTGCCGAGAGCAGAGGCAAGGAGGGGGGGGAGGGAGGAGGGCGAGGAGGGGGAGGAGGAGAGGAGGTGGCACGCGGGGCGCTGCCCCTTCAAAACGAGGACCCAACACCACAGGATGGTTGGGAACATAACAGCAACAACACGCAAACGCAAACATCCATGCCCAGGGTCTTGAGCAAGAAGCGCGTCATGGAGGCGTCGCTCGCCGCGGAGATGGAGGAGGCGGATGCTGCGCCGCGGAGGACGCGGCAGAAGCAGGCGGGGTGATTTCGAAGTTCAACCTTCCGAGTTCGACGCTCGAAGTTCAAAGTTCAAAATTCTGATGTCGAATTTCGAACTTCGAACGTCGAACTCGAGACGGACATGATACTTGAGGAGGCGCTGCCTCCTGCAGCATCCCCTCTCCGCCCAGGTGAGCTCCGACGTGCTGGTGCACCGCCGCCGCCGCCGCCCGCGCGGAGTGGCGCCCTGGGCGTCGCCGCGCCGCCCGCGCACGCCGTCTCGGAGGCCACCTTCCAAGCCTGCCTCTCGGCGCGCAGCGGCGGCCGCCTCGCCTGCGCCAGAAGCAGCAGCAGCAGCAGCAGCAGCAACAGCTCCAGCAGCAGACGCTGCAGCGACAGCAGCAGCTCCAGCAGACGGCGCAGCAGCAGCAGCCGCAGCCGCGGCAGTGGACGCAGCAGGAGATGCAGCAGCACAGGCTCAGGGCCTTGAAGGCCTGCAGCAGCAGCCCCGGCAGCAGCTCCAGCAGCACCAGCAGTTCGGGGCAGCAGCAACAGCTCCAGCAGCAGAGGCTGCAGCAGCAGCAGGAGCAACAGCTCCGGCAGCAGAGGCAGCAGCAGCAGCATCGCCCAGCTCGAGCTGGCGGCAGCCAGCCCAGGGTGGCCTCTTCGGCCCCAAGATGCAGCAGAAGAAATGCCTGGCGGCGACAAGCAAGGCGCCGAGCGCAGCACCGCTTCCTGGCGCTGCGGCGCCGCCCTGGCAGCAATGGTGGGCCGCGCCAAATTTCATCAGGAGGTGACCTCCTGCAGAGCTTCCCGCCGCAGGTGCCGACTCAGGCCACGATGGCTGCCTGGGCTGCGCAGCGCCAGCAAGATCAACAGCAGCAAGATCAACGGCAGACGGCCGCGCAGCAGCCGCACGAGCAACAGCAGACGGCCGCGCAGCAGCAGCACGAGCAACAGCAGGCGGCCGCACAGCAGCAGCACGCGCAACAGCAGCAGCACGCACGCAGCAGATGACGCAGCAGCCTGCAGCCGCAGCAGCAGCAACAGCACCTGGCGCCGACGCGGAGCAGCGACAGCCGCAGCAGGAGCAGCCGATTGAGCAACAGCAGCAGGTGGAGGCGATGAGGCCCCTCAGCAGCAGCGGAGCCACCTCCAGCAGCAGGCCGACCAGATCGCTATGAGCATCCAGACGCTGCGCGAGAGGTTCGGACTGCCGCAGAGCGATCACCTCTGCGGCGATTGGGCCTTCGAGGTTTTCCTTCCAGGGCGGCCCCGCGTCGAGGCGACAAAAGATTATCGTGGCCTCGCCTCGCCGTGGGATTGCCTTGGAAGGTCGAACCCCCGAATGCTCCGCAGGCGGCGACGCGGCGCCCGGAGGACTTGGGGGCGTGGAAGGGGAGAGGAGGGGGGTGGCAAGGAGGCGCCGCCTCCTCGAAGAGAAAGGCAGACTCTTCCCCTCCACCGCCCCCTCTCTTTCCATTCCACTTGGCTTGCACTTCCCCTTCCCCTCGCTCCTCCTCTGCCCCTGCCGCTTCTCCCTTTCATCCCTCTGCCGAGGAGACGCGCGCCGCCGCGAGCGGCGTCCACGGCGGCAACTTCCTGAGCCGCGCATGCGATGCGGCCTGAGAAATAGACGAATCACATGCAAGCCGAATGTTATATATATAGATGTTGCGTTGATGTTGAAATCCGTGTGATGTTCAGACAGATTGTGTAGTTTTTTGTTTTAATGAACTATCGATTGTATATGTTCACATGTATTGTTGTATATATATATATATATTGACTTTTTGTATTTTTGTATGTTTGTATGATATTTGCATGTTTTAAAATTTACTATTATATATCAGGTTTTTTGAATATTAATACAGCGATTTTGTATTACTATATATATGGTTTGCGTTGTTTTGTATGTTTGTACGTTGCGTTTCCTTATAAGTTTGAACTTACTCCAACATCAGCGCGCTGAGAAAAAGGCGTTCGGTTTGTAATGGCAACGGGGGATGGGGGGAGCTGGGAGGGGTCGAGGAGGCGAAGCCTCCTTTATTTTTGCATTAAGAACTCACGTTGGCCAGTTCATAGGAAACTACGAAATCTTTGTTTGGCTCCTGGAATGCTCTGTGCTTTTCGAATAGCGATGCTCCAAAAATGCCCCCTTCATTTTGTGTGTGTGTGCTTTTGACCATGCTCCTAAAATGCTCCTGCTCGTTGCTGCCATTTCTCGCGATGCTCAGAACATGCTCCTGCTCGTTCTGGCATTTTTGCCAGATGCTCCAGAAATGCCCCCCTTCGTTGTTGCTGTCTCTGGCGATGCTCCCGGGGAAATGAAGAACCAAACTCGACAATGTCAGCTCCGGCGGAAAACTGTTCTACCCCCCCCCCAAAAAAAAAAACGGTGGCCCCTGTGGGGCAGTGAGATATGAGCGCACAATGCCTTCCAGGGGGGCGATACATTGCGGGCGGGCCTAAACAATTCAATTTTGGCAGGGAACTACAACGCGACAAGAAAAATAAAGGAGGCTGAGGAAGAGACAGCGGAGGGGAGAGAAGAGCATTTTGGTTTGCCTCGACCCGCGAAACAGGCAGCACGACGGAGTAGGAGGAGGAGGTAGAGGAGGAGGCGGAGGAAATCCTCGACTTTCGATCCTCGGTTGGGCCACTGGCCCGTGCCGAGCTCCCGGGAGGCGCAGGTTTGCCGCGACCCGCGTTTGAAGTTGAAGGTTTGAGGAAGAGGGAAGAGGGAAGGGGGGGGAGGAGGAGGAGGAGGAGGTGGAGGAGGAGGAGGAGGAGAGGAGGAGGAAGAGGAGGGAGGAGACAGAGGAAATCCTCGACCTTCGATCCTCGACCTTCTATCGTCGACCCACCCTTTTCGGGCCCCAGGGGCCATCAAAAATCAATCCAGGGAAGGAAAACTGCCCAAGGGGAACTCGCGGCCCGTGGAGCCATTTCTCCTCATCCTCCTCGCCAGCGCCCCCCCTCCCCCTCCTCTCCCTCCGCCTCCTCCTCCACCTCCTCCTCGTCTTCCTCCTCCTCCCCCTCCTCCTCGCCCTCGCGTTCCTCGCTCCTCCCCCTCCTTCCTCCTTCTCCTCCTGCTCCTATTCCTCCTCCCCTTCTCCTTCTCATCCTCCTCCTCCCCCTCCTCCTCGCCCTCCTCCTCCTCCTCCCCCCCCTCCTCCTCCCCCTCTTCCTCCTCCTCCTCCTCCTCCTCATCCACCTCCTCCTCCTCCTCCTCCCCTCCCTCTCTGGCTCTGGGCGCCCCCTGGCCGGCGCCTGGCAGCCCGCCACGATGGCGGCGCAGGCCCGCCCCCCCGCCCCAGGGGGGGCGGGGGGGGGGCGACGCGACGACGACGATGACCAAGACGAGGAACGCGAGGGGAGGACGAGGAGGATGACGAGGCTAGGGCGCCCGGGGAAAGAGGCAGAGGACGATGGGGGAAAGGGGGGCGAGGACGAGGGCGATGGGGGGGGGGGGGGGCTCCTTCTCAGACACAATGCATGATCGTTTCAAGTCTCAACTCAAAACAGAACAAATGTGTGAGAAGGAAAACGGGCCCCGCACCGCGAGTCACCGCGAGACCACGAGCGCGGGCCAGCGAGGCAGGGCGGGCCGAGACTGCGGCCACGAACCTGGAAGCATGGAGCATGGAGCAGAGAGGAAGATAGGAAGATGATCGATGATCGAGGTTCGAGGTGGATGAGGGATGAGGTTGAGGGCGGAGGGCGGAAGGGCGGAGGAGGAGGAGGGAGGAGGGGCGGGTGACCAAAAAAACAGCGTCAAGCGTTGGAGCGCGTCGAGGCTCGAGGCATCGCATATCGTATATATCATCGCATAGTTGTGCATAGTTGCGCATCGCATATCGCATATCGCTCGAGGCATAGTTGTGCATCGCATATCGTTTATCGTTTTGCGCCTCGAGCCTCATGCCTCATGCCTCGGGCCTGCCCCCTTGCCGCTGCCTGCGCTCTGAATTCCTACGCTGCTCGCTGCTCGAGGCCTGTGGCTGGAGAATCGAGGGGGCTGGGGCCTGGTGCCTGGGTGGCGGGTGGCCCCTGCCCAGCAGCGAGGCTGCAAGGCAGTCAGGCAACTCAGAGCTCAGAAACGCTTGACTGCGATCCCCAGGCAAGCAAGCACGCATTCGCTTACGCCCCCCATCCGCCGTTCACTAACTCGCTAACTCGCTCTCACTTGTCGGCTACACGTAAGAGTGACCCTGGGCAAGAGTGACCTTCGGTGCGCGGCTTTGGGGGGGCCGCGGGGAGGCCAAATCCAGGTGCGCTAGCCGCTACTACCGCTTCGCGCTCGGCCATCTGGGGGCCCATCTGTGCCCGCACCAAAGGTCACTCCGGCGAAAGGTCACTCTTACGTCTAGTCGAACTTGTTACATGTCACTCGTCGCTCACTTGCTAGCGCCGAACGTCAGCTTCTGCGGGGTCGCGGCGGCATGCGCCAACTTCGCGCGGCGCCTCTTTGGCGCGGGCTCCGCCGCCTTCCCAGCCATCTCACCCCCCTCGCCCTCGGCCTCAGCAGTAGTTGCCATGGCCACCTCAGGCCCCAACTCTGCCTCCCCCGTCTTCTCTGGCGAAGTTCCGCCCGCAGGCGCCATCGCCGAGCCCGAGTGGCTGGCCGCGGGCGCGGAGGCCGCCTGCATGATGCCCGCGACGTTGGCCTTGGGCGCAGGCTTGCCCAACCCCAGATCCGCTGCCGGGGGGGGGGGGGGGGGGGGGGGGGGGGGGGAACGGGGGATGGCGCGCTGCGCCCCCCTCTCCTCGATCCTCGACCCTCGACCTTCGAACTTCGACCTTCCGTCCTCGACCGACTCGCGACCTTCGAGGATCGCGGACCTTCGAGGATCAATCGGGAAAAAATCGAGGGTCGAGGATCGGGGTTCGGAGGTCGAGGATGGCGGGTCGCCAATGGCTGAGGCGAGGATCGAAGGTCAATTGAAGATCGAGAACCGACTTTCGATCGAAGGTCGAGCGCCGACGAGCTGGGATCGTGGATCGACGGTCTGGGTCGACACCCTGGATCCTGGATCTTGGATCCTCGACCCTCGATGATCGATCTTCGATCTTCGATCCTCGCCGATTCTGGGTCATCGCCTTCCGCCTCCGCCCTCGAGCCCTCGAGCCCCTGGGGCCCGCGACCTTATTTTCTATCCTCGCCTTCGGCCCCTCCTCTTCAGTTTCTCAGCTCCTCCGCCTTCTGCCTCCTCTATCCTCCCTCCTCCCTCCTCCCCCTTCTCTCTGCCTCTCTTCCACCCGCCCCCCGCCGCGGGCCCCTGCTGTGCTGGGCGGGCCTCGGCGGCCGCGGCCGGCGCGGCCTGCTTCTCTGCCGGCCCCCCCTTGGCTTTCGCCTCGGCCGCAGTCTTCGCCGCAGCCTCCTTCTCGGCAGCTTTCCTCGCCTCAGCCTCCTCGCGGGCCTTCTTCTCAGCTTCCTCCTTGGCTGTCGCCTCCGCCGCAGCCTGCGCCGTGGCCTCCTCGGCAGCTTTCTTCGCAGCCTCCTCGCGGGCCTTCTGCTCGGCCTCCTCCTTGGCTTTCGCCTCCGCCACAGCCTGCGCCGTGGCCTCCTCGGTAGCTTTCTTCGCAGCCTCTTCGCGGGCCTTCTGCTCAGCCCCCTTGGCTTTCGCCTCCGCCGCAGCCTGCGCAGCGGCCTCCTCCTCGGCAGCTTTCCTCGTAGCCTCCTCGCGGGCCTTCTGCTCGGCCTCCTTGGCTTTCGCCTCCGCCGCAGCCTGCGCCGCGGCCTCCTCCTCGGCAGCTTTCCTCGTAGCCTCCTCGCGGGCCTTCTGCTCAGCCCCCATGGCTTTCGCCTCCGCCGCAGCCTGCGCCGCGGCCTCCTCCTCGGCAGCTCTCCTGGCAGCCTCTTCGCGGGCCTTCTTCTCGGCCTCCTCCTTGGCGCTCGCCTCCGCCATTGCCTGCCCGGCTGCCTCCTCGGCTGCTGTCGTCGCAGCCTCCTCGCGGGCCTTCTGCTCGGCCTCCTCCTGCTGTGCTGGAGGGGCCGCTGGCGCTGGCGTCGCGGGCGGGGCCGCCTGCGCTGCTGGCGGCGCGGCCTGTGGAAGGCCCTCTGCCCCTGCTGGCGGCGCGGCCAGCCCCTGCTGCCCCTGCGCTGGCAGGGCCCCATTCTGGTCCTTGGCCCACCCATTCAACGATTCCTTGAACTTCTCGACCATACTTTTGCGGTGCTTGACCACCAGGTCCAACGCCTCGCCGAGGATCTGTTGCCAGCTTGGGCGGGATGATTTGCGCGGAGTCCTCCACGAAATTGATGGGCTGAATTCTGATTCCCATGATGTCAGAGTTGGCCTGCACTTGCTCCACCATGAAATACCCCGTCGGCACGTAGAGGATGTCGCCGGGGCCAGCCGTCACGTAGCAGATTGGCTTCACTGGGCTATGCCCGCGCGCCTTGACGTAGGGCGCGAGCTCCTCCTTGGACGCGCTGGTGGCGAACTCTGCGCACGCCGCAGAGCTCCATCCAGAGCCCTTGCCCTTGTCCCGAAGATGCGGGCCGAGGGCGCCGAAAGGGATCACGGCAATGAACCGGGCGCCCTGGACACTGCCACGCACGCTCGGGGGCGTGCTCCGTTCGAAGCCGGCCACCTGGGCATCGGGCATTCGCGCGCCTCCCTCCACGTTCGTCCTCCTTCATCCTCCATCCTCCTCCTTCTCCTCTTCTCCTCCCCCCCTCCCTCCTCCTCGTCCTCCTCGCATTGGTCCCCCCTTCGATTGCTTTCCTCCTCTTCCTCCTCTTCCTCCTCTTCCTCCTCCCCCCATCCTCCCACCTCCTCCTCGTGCTCCTCCTCCTCCTCCTCCTCCACCTCCTCCTCATCCTCCTTCCTCTTCCTCACCCCTACTTCTCGGGCCCCGGCCTCTTCCTTCTCCGCGGCCAACCCCCTCCCTCCCCCATCCCGCGCCCCCCCCTTCTCCCGCGTTCTCTCGTGCCCTTTTCTCCACCCACATCCCCATCAGGGGACTTGAGGATTGACGGGGTGTCCGTGTAACCATCATGTTAGTTGTCCAAAGTTGCGCCTCAGCACCCGCGGCGTAGCCCCACATGACGAGGCCCCTGGAGGACTTCATCGCGTCTGAAGCCAGGGTGCTATCCACGTCGAGCAGCGCGCCTTCTGGCAGCAGACCTGTGACTAGAGTGCCAAGAGGAGGGGCGAGGGGTGGGCCGGGGCGAGAAGCGAGGAGGGCCCCGCCCAATCCTGGAGACGAATCTGCTTTGAAAGCAAAATGTGAAAGGAGGAAGGAGGCGAGGGCGAGGAGGAGGATTGGGAGAAGGAGAGGGGGGTAGGGGTAGGGGTGAGGAGGTGGTGGAGACGCCGGAGTGCTGGGGTCGCGTGAGGGCCGCCCAAAATAAGGCCCCGGGCCCCCGGGGCCTGGGGATTCTCGAAAACGCCACTCTGACGGCCCAACGCGAATTCAAGATTGCCCGAAGATGGCCCCGGCCCCTCCAAGATGGCCCACCGTCTAAGAACCCAATTACAATTCCAAGTCAGACCGGGGCTTGGGCAGGGGAAGTTTAAGTGAGAAGGTGCCTGGCAGAAAACCAAACAGTGGGCGCCCGGGGCGAAGCGACGCGGCGAGCACAAGCACTGTTCGGGCTCACTCGAAAAGACAGAGGCAGCGGACGCGCGCGCCTTTAGGCAACATCAGGCGCATGCCGCCCTCCTCCTCTGGACGCTCGGCCTCCGCTGAGGCCCAGCTGCGCCGCCGGCTGGCGGCCCCACGGCCCGAACCGCTACGCGGTCAAGGCCGAAAATAGCAAAAAAGAAACCTACGAAGGGCCAGGGAGGGCCTGGGAGGGAAGGGCCCGAGAAAGAACTTGAGCCCCAAAGGGGCCGCGGAGGGGGACAGGGGCAGAGAGCAGGAGAGACCCCCCCCCCTCACCAGGCACTTAACCCCTGAAACCTTACGTTTTACGCATGCTCAAACTCTCACGTTTAAGTGAGAAGGTGCCTGGCAGAAAACCAAACAGTGGGCGCCCGGGGCGAAGCGACGCGGCGAGCGCAAGCACTGTTCGGGCTCACTAGAAAAGACAGAGGCAGCGGACGCGCGCGCCTTTCGGCAACATCAGGCGCATGCCGTCCTCCTCCTCTGGGCGCTCGGCCTCCGCTGAGGCCCAGCTGCGCCGCGGGCTGGCGGCCCCACGGCCACCCAGCTACTTACCCCTCGGCGCCCGCGACTTGCGGGAGGTGCCGAATGGGGCTCGCAGCTGGGCGCCTCTGCTGCCCAGCGCATGGCCAACTTCACTCCTCGCACTCCTCAATCTTCGGGGACCGCACTGGCGGGGCGCCCCGTCCTTCCACTCTCTCTCCTCCTCCAACACTCCCGGGGACCGCGCTGGCGGGGCGCCCCGGGGTTCCTCTCCTCACCTCCGCCGATCCTGGGGGTCACCACTGCCCCCAGGCCGCTGCCCCAGGACTGCGCACAATCCAACATCGGCCCCTCCAGTGGTGACGCGCCTCGGCTCAAAACTCAAACTCCTGCTACTGAACTCAGGCCACTGACTTTTCCGTCACCTCAGCGGCCGATCCGTCTCCAGCCACCTCAACCTTGCACCCCGCGTGCAGAGTTGCAACAGACTTCGCCATCGCCTCCGACACCCCAGCGGCGTCCTCGTTCGCCTCCCACAAATACTGGCGAAAGGCTCCGCTATTCCACCGCCCCCAACGCTTGACCAGCTCCGTGTCCTGGAAGCAGTGGTACAGGGCCGTCGCTCCGCCGATTCGGAGCGAATGGCTCTTGAACCTGTCGGGTGGGTAGCCTTCCAGCGCCGCCGCCTTCTGAAGCAAGCCCTGGATACGCCCCCGCGTGATCGGGCCACCGCCCCCCCACCTCGCAAGCGGTAAATGCGCCTCTTTACCCGTGATACGGCTCGGGAACCAACGGTTGTAGCACTCCGCCGCCCACACTGGAAAGATGCCGGACGGGTCGTTCGAGCGGCAGTGGTTCCTCGCCTGCCCTGCTCCCTTCTGGTCGGCCTTCGACGCCTTGAACCGCAGCACCACCTCGTCCGCCGCAGCGAAGTGGCTCACCTGCTCGCCCTTGCACTTCGGGGCAATGTCCAGCCCGGCCAAGACTTTCTTCAAATCCCAGTGCCCCGAGTGGGCGACCTCCCCAATCCGCATCATGAAAAAGAAAGCGAAAATCACGCAGAAGTACAAGGCCGCATCGTCCGCACAGGCGTCCGGCTTCAGCATGTATCGGATCCCCTTCAACATCTTGGTCGTAACTGGGAGCTTCCTCTTTCCAGGCCCTTGCCAGTTCTCGATCCCATTTAAAGCCATCCACAGCCGCGGCTTACCCGCCAAGGGGTCGGGCTCCCCCAGCATCACGTGTTGTGAGCGGATCCCCAGCAACTTAGACCGTATCGTACCGTGCGACCGCTTCAGGCTGTTGTACAGGTGCACCATGAACAGCAGCAGCCCCTCCTCATCTTGGTGACGCTCGTCGCGAGTCTCGCCATGTAGAATGGGCGACCTCCTGCGGATCCGGCAGAAAGTCGTCCACTGCCTCCAAGCGACGCCGTAGGTCGCCTTCGTCCCCTTGGCCACCGAAGCCACCACTGCTGCATCTACCAACCTCTGGAGCTCTGGCGCGTAACCAGCATCGGCACGCCCCCCAGCCCGCCTGGAGTCCTCCCTGGCGATCCGCCTGAGCTGCCGCTCTAGCCCTTCGCTGCCCTGGCTGCTGCCCGCTGCCGCCGCCAGGTACCGGCTCGCCGCCTCCGGGTCGATGTCCTCGGGCGGCCTAGCCTCCTGTGCCTCACGCAGCGTTACCTTCTCACGTTCACGCCCCTCTCCTCCCCCTCGCCGGGGGGCCGCGCGGCGCGGCGTGCGCGGGCGCCTGCCCGGTTGGCCCTCCGGGAGCCGCGGGCGGTCCGCGCCACTGCCCTCGGCGGCGTCCTCGCCTCCTCCTCCTCACAGCGCTCCTCTGGGCTTCGGTCGGAGGCCCGCGCGCGTGCGCGTCCGACCCGCCTGGGCCGCGGCCGCGGCTGTGCTCCCTGCCTTGGCTACCCCTTGTGCTGCCGGCGACCGGCCCCTCGCCATCGATATGGGGTAGGTCCGGTTGCACATCGGGCAGCGCATATCCCGGCCCTCGCCCTGCACTCCGCAGTACTCACACCACGCCTAGCGGGCATCCGGGCCGCCCCCTGGGAAAGGCACTGGCCGAAGCTCATCGACCTCCTCCTCCGCCTCCTCAGAATCCTCCTCCGAGTAGGATACGGGCGAGTTGAGGTCTCTCACGTCCTCGGCAGCTCGCGCGGGCCCGCCTGGCCTGAGCGGGTCCTCCTCCGCCCAGTGACCAGGGAGCTGCAGCAGCCTCGCCGGCCCGCCGGACCCGCTCGACCCCCCCGAAGGGGGTGCCCAACTTCCCGGTTGGGGTAGCGGTTCGCGGTCTGCCCGTCCCTCTGGCTGCGGCAGTGGCTCTCGGCCAGGTGGAGGGTGGACGACTGGCGTCTCCACTCTGGCGGCCCCCTCCTCGGGGCGGCCCTCCTCCTCGGGGGCGGACCAGAGCCCCGTCCTCTGGAACTCCACCCGCCGGGCGAGAGCGCGGCGCGTCTGACCGACCGCCCGCGTGACCTCCGTGGGGGTCTCCTCCTCCGACCCCTCCTCCTGCTTGACCTCCGCTGGTGCAGGTGGGGTCCTCGCCCTAAGGCGGATATACTCCGCCTGCCCCTCACCTGGGTGCCTGGCTGCGTTCTTGAGCCGATCTGCCTCCGCCGTCCTCTGCCGGGCGGCCGCTCGCTCCGCCCGCGCCCGCCGGGCGAGCTCCCCCGGCGGCGGGGGGGGGGGCGCTCCTCGCTCTGGCTCCCCCGACTGCCGCTCTCCTCACCCCGCTCCTCCACGGCCCCTAGCTCGGTCCGCGGGGGGGGGGGGGGCGGCCAGCGCGGCGGCGGCTAGCACCCGGGCGGCGGCCTCTGCGATTTCTTGCTTGCGCTCTTGCTTGCGCTTCTTGCCCGCCGCCGCGGTCGCCGGCGCCCCTCCCCCCTCGAGGGGTGGCTGGCCGTGGGGCATCTTCTCGCAGTGCCTGAAATGCTTCGCGCCTCCTTCTGCCCAGTCCGCTCCCTCCGACCGCCCCGCGCACTTGTTGCAGCAGAACCCTGGCCGCCACAGTGCTCCGCCATCGACTCCGGTCGCGGGTTGGGAATGCTCCAAGTAGGGGCACCCTGGGTGCAAGCACGGGCGCAAAGCATCCCTCGCCTCTGGGGGGGTGGGGCCTGGTCCGCACCGCTGGCACCACCCCCCACTCCCTCGGCAACCTCACGTCGCCCTGTGGGCGTCCAGTCGCCCCAGCTCTCCTCCTCAGATCCTCCCGCGTGTCGGCTCCTGCTGAGCAGTGGGTCTCCTCCAGCTCCCACCAGCCTGCCCAGCCCCCCTTCGACTGGTGGCCCCTCGGGCCGCAGACCCTCCTGGGCCGTGCTTGGCGGTGCTTTCACCACCGCAGGCCGCTGCTCCTCCCAGATGGGAGGGGGGCGGCCGCCCGGCGCCGCCATGGGCGGTGGGTGCCTCAATGCCTCCTCGCCTGCTGCCTGGGCTCCAGGACCACCACTGCCACTAGCCTCCTCGCTCGGCGGCGGGCGATAGCCCGCCTGCGCCGCCTTGGGC